GGCCTGGGCCCTCCTGATCACATAAACCCCCTCTAACCGGCGCCTGCGGCCAACCGCCCCCATGCCCACCGGGGCCTGCGCCGCCGTCGGGCCCGCCCCGCCTGCCAGCACATTTCAGTCACCACCACCTCCAGCTGCAAACCCACACAAATCCGCCCCGCCTTCCCCCGCATACACACAAGATCCCACCCCGCCACCCCGACAGAGACACTCCGGCCCCCAGAAGACACACACACACACACACACACACACACACACACACACACACACACACACATGCACATGCACACCCCACCCCGTCAACCCAGTTCAAGACACCAGTCCCCTCGGCCCCCACCTGTGCTCCGCGCGCGCCCAGGAGCCAAACCTCATCAGCTCAGGGTTGGGTGCCTGGTGGTCTTCCAGCTCGACCTGCGCCATGTAACCCGCCAGCTGGCGCGCGTTCATGTACCTAGGGGTGGAGGAAGGGGGGTGGGGGGAGGGGACAAGGTGTTCGTGTGTGTGTGGGGGGGGAGGGGGTGCAAGGGTGTCAGTAAGCATGTGCGAGCTTGAGGGAGTGAGTGATATGGTTGTGTGTGTGTGTGTGCTGGGGTATCACCCAGTGAGCGTGACCCGACGTGTTTGGGAACGGACGCAGGCGAAATCGCACACATGCGTGCGCTTCTCAAAGCCGTCCGGGTCCGCTGCCTGGCGCACTTCATACACGTGCCGCCAGACGGCGCCCCTCCGAAGCCCGCAACCCCGAGCCCACGGCGCGACCCTCAGCGGGCTGCGGGCGCCGGCGGCGCGCCCCCGCCCCCGTGGGCCGCGCCGCGCGCGCCTGTTCCAGCCGGTCTCGTTCTGGTAGTGGTGAATGGCCCAGGCCTCGTCCTCATAGGCCTCCTCCTCCCCCACACGCAGCAGCTTGTCCTGCAGCTCGATCTGGGGAGGAGGGCGGGCGCGGGAGACGTGTGGGGGAGGAAGGTACGAGGATTTGGATGTCGCGTGCTGCGATAATTGGTGGTCTGTCTTTGGTGCGTGAATCGACGTGTGACGTTCGCGTTTGGGAAGTGTGAGTGTGCGTGTGTTTTGTGTGGGAGTTTGTGCGTATGTGTGTTTGTGCGCATGGGTGTGCGCGCCTCAGAACGACCGTGTGGTTGCCAGGCAAACTTGGGGTTCAGAGGCGTGAGACGGGCGTGTCTTGAGGCAGAGGCCCTTGGTATCCCACTCAGCAAACAGAGAACGTCTAGGACACCGCGCGCCACGTGGCCACAGCGTGCCCGGCCCCTCCCCCGCCCCTGGCAAATTTTCAGGGCCCGCAGCTCACGAGCCACTTGATCCGGGCCTTCTCCCGCGCGTCGCGCGGCTGCAGCCACTCGGGCAGCTGGTCGGCAGCTGCCTCGTCCTGCTCCTGCAGCCCGCGGTAGTACTCCATCTCCTCCGGCGGGAGGGTGCCTGCGTGTGGGGATGCACCCCCATGCGCATGTAAGCACGTGCGTGCAATGAGTGCACAGATTTATGCGGCCGCACGGCGCATGCGTCCGCACTCACTGGGGGTGATCACAAGCACAGGCGTGCTTGCATGCATGGATGAGCTTGACATGCGCGGCATTGCCGCGGACGGCTCGTGAACACAAGCATGGGTCCGGCACCAGCAAGCAAGCAAGTGCGTTCCACACAGTGTGAAGAGGCCGGCTCGGCCGAAAGGAAGAGAGTGCGGTAGACTCGCGCGCGCAACCAGGCAGCCAGCAGGCCGCGGCGCCCGAGCGGCGGCTCCCAAGCACGCGACGCACGCGCCTAGCCACCCCGCGGCCGCGTGGCCCCCGTTCCCCGCCCCCACCTGCTTTGAACTTCTGCCACCTGGTCCAGCCGTCCTCCTCCTCCTGCTCCTCCTCCTGCACCTCCGCACCCCCCTCCGCCTCAGCCTCCACCTCTGCCGCCGCCTCGGGGGCGCCGGCCGCCTCGGCTGCCTGGGGCCGGCTGGGGGCGCGCACGCGCGCGGCGTCGTACAGGGCGCCAGGTGGCAGCAGCTCCTGCTCGTGGTGGAAGGTGACGTCCTCCTGCAGGCACAGGCGCACAGGTGTGTGCGCGCGCGTTTGAGTGTGCACGATTTGTGTGTTTCTGTGCGTGAGTGAGTGTGCGATTGTGTCTGATGTGTGTGTGTGTGCGTGTGCGTGTGTGCGTCTGAATGTGAGTGTGTGTGTTTGTGTGTCTAATGTCAGAGAGTGTGTTTGTGTGTGGGAGTTTACGCAAAGTGCACGCCTCGGCGAGTGTGGCACAGCAATCGTCCGCTCTACACACGCTCCCCCCTCCCCC